TTTATATTCATGAATTAAATGCTTCTGATGAAACATGTTCTCATAATCTTTCTGAATCAAATGCTTCAAATGTAATGTGTTCTCTTGATGATGTTAAATCAAATTCCTCCGATGTAACATGTCCTCACAATGATTCCAAATCAAATACCTCAGACAAAGTATGCTCGCGTAAAACTTCAGAACCTCATGTAATTTGTGCCAGTGTTATGTCCACAACAAAGTCTTCTGTTCCTTTTCAAATGCCGAAGATATCTCCAAAGAAACCTTGGTCGTGTGTACAAATTAATTTTGCTGGCCCATTTCAGGGTACATATTTCCTCATTTGTGTCGATGCTTACTCAAAATGGCCGGAGGTTATCCCTATGAACCAGGTCACTTCGCAAGACACTATTATGGAATTACGGCAGTTATTCTCCCGTTTTGGAGTCCCAAATATCCTTGTGTCGGATAACGGCACTCAGTTTACTTCGTCCATCTTCTCAGATTTCTGCAAGAGATTTGGAGTCAATCATGTTCGTTCACCTCCATATCATCCACAATCGAATGGTCAAGCCGAAAGGTTTGTGGATACCTTCAAGAGAGCGCTACTGAAGGCAAAAGGGGAGGGGAAGATAAAGGAAATTCTTAATGATTTTCTATTTGTCTACAGAACAACTCCAAACCCGTCAGCACCAAATCAAATGTCTCCAGCAGAAATTATGTTTGGCAGAAAAGTTAAAACTGCTCTCGATGCAATAAAACCAGAGCGAAATCTCATAGGAAGGAGAAACCGAAAGATGGAAATCCAATTTAATCGCCATCATGAGGCGAAAAATAGAGTCTTCCAAAACAACCAAACAGTATACGTCCGTGATTTCAGATACTCACCTCCACAATGGACCAGTGGACGCATACTTAAGAGACGGGGAAATGTAATGTATGTGGTGGAAGTTGAAGGTCAAAAGTGGACACGTCATGTTAACCACATACTGGAAAATTCTGGTACTGCACAGAAAACCGAGAAACTGAGTTCAATGTGGCAAATATTCTTGGACAGTTTCGATATTAAAAGTTCAACGACTCACAAAACTGTGCATCCGGAACAAGATCATATTAGGAGATCGTTACGAAAACGCAGAAGACCAGATGTTCTACAAGTGGACCCAAAGAAAAGAGCATACGTTTCTGAGGGGAGATATCAATGATGATATCTTAACTATTACTTGTAAATAGTGACTAATCATTTTTTTTTTATTTATTCCAGTTGGTCAAATTAGTCACGCTTACACGGATCGCAACGTAAACCGGTTTCACTTATGCACTCAGTTGAATGGCAGTTATAACACTTTTTTTGTCAAGGGGGAAGATGATGTGAACCGGGAAACAAGAAGCCCTGACAAACTACGAAGGCTATTTTTCGGAACGTTATTTCATTTTATTCAAAGCTTGTAAAACACTGACATTTATTTTTGTCCCTAATCTATTCTACAGAACATAAGCTTTCGTTCGATGTATCATTCACTGCCATACCTTTTTCTGTTCCGAAGCTATTGTAATTTAAACATATTATTTTGCACCCTATTTTCTACTCTAATTCCCAGCTTTGGACATAATTGTATTTTTCCTAATTATTGTACGTTGCGGTCGGGTTATTCACTTATTTATTCATGTACCTTTTTACACTAATCTGAATTCAGTGAATTCAGTAAATCCAGTGAGTTCAGTGGTCAGGGAAATAGATCGAGTAGTGTTCCAGTTGTCTTGTCTTCTCTCATTCGTGTGCTTGCCCACCAATCAGGTGACAGAATAGTTTTCTTCTCTCTCTACCCCATCTCGAACTCATGCGTACTAGTCTCAAGGTTAAGCTGATCAGCCTATCGCATCAAGGTCGAAATCTAGATTAGACAAGTAGCCTCGGCACCAAAAAGTGGGTAGACAAATCAAGGTCATAACATTTTGTTAAAGCAGGAATTCATACAGAGTAAAGTCAGATATTGCGCATATTTAGATCGTGTAATACGGCTAAATATGATGTAGCACTGAACATGAACACAAAGTTGAGAATGTTTGGGTAGATGAATTTGTTTCTATCTCAACTTTGATATATTTGTGTTGAAGCATGGACTTATTAATTGTAATATTCATCGTAATAACAACGTTAGAATCCACACCTTATTGATTGTGCATAATCAAATCAAATATTAGTATCTTATTGAAGCTTCGGTTGACATCAACAATATTTTAGTTTCAAAAGAGAAGTGAGGGGTTATTCTTTACTCAAAAAGTATGAAAGATGTTCATTGTTTTGTCAGCTAGATAAGAATTTGGTGGAATAATGTAGCCACTTACTTAGGAAGTGTAACAAAAAAAGTCTTACGTAACGTGTTGCAAACATTTCGCAAATTTATGCGCTTATAAAACAGACCAATGTAGTTACCAGATTGGAAGCTGGTGCTGTGTAGGGAGTAAGTTTGTAGTGGCTGGTACTAAGTCAAGCCGACATAGGTTATTCTAGCTAATGATCAATTTATTTGAAATTATGAAGTCGAACCTTGGTAACGATACTTGTAAATTCTAACATTGTTTTGAATAAGCTATGAGATATTAGATTAATGCAGCTACAATAAGAAATCAGACAATTACCAATCAGATCACAATATGAAATAGACCGGTTTTCAATCAACATACAATTCTCAAGCTAACTCATAACAAAAACTAATGTATAAAGTACGGTTTATTGAAGAAATTAATTGTCAGATATCTAAAATATTGTAGGGTCTCCTCAGTGTGCCTACGTAAATTCTACACATGATTTATAATATGTCTGCTAATTGGACGCTAGATCTGATTCCAAGGCTTCTAATGACCCCAGCCTAATCTATACGGCGACTTGGACACAAAAAGGTGGGAATTTCGAAACCTAAAAATCAGTGATGCGAATTTATCGGACTCCCAAACTAAATAAAAAAGATTTATGAATGCACCACTTTTTACATGATTAATTTACAGTTAAAGTCGGATTAATTAAGTGAATTAAGCTGTATTTAACAACAATAATTCAATGACTTACGGTGTGCGCACATACTTACAATTAAGTATCTTTCTTAATACGTTACAAGACTGGATAAAAAAAATCAATTTATCATGTCATTCCCAATTCAATTGATTAAACTATCACTTGCCACATCAATTTACAGAGAGAATCCATCAAAAGGCAGCGTAAATGTCAATGAAGATTTCATCTATATAGTGTTCTCCTTGAATATTAGAGTGAATATATTGGTTAGAACGCACTGATTTCGGTGGTGCTGCGTTAATACCATTATTGATGTTTTATTTGGATCTTCATTTTAAAAAAACTTTTGACCTTACTTGTGCTTATAAGAAATAGTGTGCTCGTTTACGTAAAAAAAATCTTATACATTTTTCAGGGGAGCTGTATCAGATTTACTCACTAGATTATCTAGTGAGTAAATAAACAAATGACAGTATATCTTATCTAATTCATTTCTACAGAAAAAAGTATCTCTATAGTTACAGTGTCAGTATTTAAACTTCGATTAAACTAGCTGTAAATCAACCTGAAATGTAAGTAAATTTACAGTAACAGAAAAGCTTAATTTTCTTTACACTGTCTGTGTATACACATTACAGCTTCATTATTCAAATAACCGTACCTACCTTGTAGATTTCATTTAACCTGTCTTGTTCAATCAGTAGTTCTACCAAATGTTTAACACGCTTACATTAAGACAAACTGGACTGCTGCATAATATACGAGGCCTTTGATAAGCTGATTAAAATTCTGTACGCATCAATAGGTGATATATTCAAAGCCTACTATATAGTGACATTGATAATTTCTAAAAACTACAAAAGCGAACAAACCAACAAGCCGTTCCCAAACCCTCACTCCGTATTGGACAATTTTTCTCGAGGAATTGAAAGGATATCAAATGGGATGTCCTTTGTACATTGCCTAGATAATACTCTTGAAAATGTATCATAGTGTAACGAGAAAACAAAACGATGCTAGAACTTCTTACTCTACATTGTGTGTTTCGCGATTCATTAAGAAACAGGAGTTTTGACATCCAAAGGATAGAAGTTTCGAACAGTGTCTATCATGAAACAATCAAATTTCTGTAACTCTAAAAGCCGTTAGCGATTAAATGTGACACGGATGACCAAATTTTGAAGTACCGCTAAGCTAAGCACAATAATATAAACGTTAAACTTGAGAATCATATTGGAGGATATCTTCAAGTTAATTTAATTTATATTTGTAGAACAGTGAAACATGAGTGTTTCATATTTTTTGTGAATCCCCTTAGGCAAATTATCATCCAATAGGCTTTCTTAGTAAATGAAAATGATCATAATCTATTCTGTTGTACTACGTTTATTAAATGCCATTAAGCGAACACATCATCAAAAATCCTAAGTTTCTATCAAACCTCCCGAAATGCGTATTATTTACTGAAGATCTACTTAGCGACAATCCACATACCAATATGTCAAATGAAAAGAAATTGAATACGGATTTTGGTCAGCAACAGGTGTCAAAACTATAATAACGGTACGTTTATGATGGGTAGAGACTTGCGTTCTCGTAATGAAATTAAACAATGGATAAAAAAGATCAGGAAGGTTAAGTATCATGGCTAACAGATTGTCACAATAATAAAAATGATTTGTTGATAGTAATACTTAGTTGCCACGTCATTCTTTATAATTCCTTACGGCATTTTTGATTCTTGAGTAGTATCTAACTCTGTAGTGTAACATCTTCAACTAATACAATACAATACTACCTTGATTCCTACATTTTCTGATTGACGCATGCTACACAGTAGGAAGAGACTGGTTATTTGTTTGGATATTGCTTCTAACATATACATTTTCCCATTCCGATGATTATCAACAAGATAGCAGAGGATAAGGAGTTGGTTCATCACAAAATCGCGAAAACCTTAATGTTAGAGGTTTTTGAAGCTTTCTTGTAAATTTCAAGGTAAAAGTTTCAGGAAATTATAAACTTTATTTATTTGTACAGAAAATATTTTGTCATATTCTTTATTTAAAAAACCCCTATCCTTAAACATATCAAAAAAGATTGCTTGGATGCAATCATATGAACAAAATATACAGACCATCAAGGATAAGTGAACATTATTATACATATAAAGTCACTGTACATTTGAATGTTACTTATAAAAATCAAAACTGATCAAGTTTTGGCTAATTTCTCAGAAAAGTCTTCTAAAATTCCGTTCACATGTTCATTGTCTTTAATATGAACTGGACGATTCATAGTACGTTTTTGTCCTGGTTTCTTTCTTTGTACAGGTATCTTTAAAATACACAACAAAAGCAGATTCTGTTCAAACATCAATATTGTGGAATTTAAAAGAAAGAAAATTAGAATTACATGTTTATTGAAACTGGTTACTGTTATCTCAGATGATTTACTATAATTAATTATTAATATGTAGCAAGTACCGATGATAACCGTTTGAAGCTAGAAATATGGATATTATAAAGTCTTAAGAAATATCTTTATGACCAATCGATTAAAATTTTATTCATCAAAATACAGAAGGTTTGAAAGAATCTTATATAGATTGTCTCATGAACTGGTCCGGTAATAAAGTAAATATAATCAAATATATGGTTAATTAGATTCATACGGTAGCTCTAGTTTATTTCTCAGACTTATTCAAAGTTTTCATGGACATATAAAGTTCACATTCTTGTATACAAGAAAGTGGGAACAGGATAGAGAAATACGATCGAATTAGTAACAATAACACACCCTGGGTATTAATTAAAAATAGTAAACCCACAAGATTGAATTGTAAATATAACAATGAATAGTCGTCCATTACGACACAGTATAAAAATCTGATCACTTTCAAGTTATTATGTAGTACGATGACAGATTATATTGTTTCCATTGTAGCTAACTGTTGTGAATATAGAGAGGAGATAAAGTCTAAAAACAAAATTATCCTTCGCAAATAAATCACCCATGGTAGTTTTGGTAGGTGGACTACAATATAACAACAAGGATGATGCAAGATAAAAATCTGTAATGCTGTTGGATTTAAATTAATCAACATGGTATGGGAGGAACTTCAACAGAAAAATACACACTAAGATTAGTCACAAGAATCACAGTCGGCATAACAGTGTGATATTATGAAAAGCAATCAACAATGTATTAATAATCCATAGTAATATATGAATTAGGAAATTACTTTGCTTCAAGTATATACATGCAGGTAGAATAGTGAATAAACCGATATAAACTTACGAAGTTTTTACGATCACCAGACATTGAAGAGATTCCATTACGTTTTAAATACTCCTCAATTTTTGTTTCATGAACACCTTCCACACTTACCGATCGCCATTGTTGCTTAAATTCTAAAGGTATACAAAAGAAATCGTAGTAATATTGATAATCAATAATTTATAGAAATTAATTATAAAGTATACTAAAACAAAAGTGTATTTTAAAATCTCAACTTAATCAGTAATGTGTATATATGACATGAAACACGATATTCAAACATCTACTTATTGTAATTTAAATTAATTTCTAAAACTAAGTACAAGTTACAAACTAGATATTTGACAGAAAAGAATAATAGTTTTCATTTCTTTTCTTTTTTTTTTCTTTTTTTTTGCAAACATTAACTAATGTATATCAATGACTTTGAAATCTATTCAGTTATTTTATACCGGCAAACTGAATCAGAAATTGGACTGAAATTACTTGTTGAAATATTAAAAATCTACTCGAAAAAAAAAAAGAAAGGAAAACGATATGGAAAATTGATGCGAATTATACGTTAGCAAGCAATTAGAAAGAAAAGGATTAGTTTAATACGGCACTGGTAGTCATGAGAAAATGATGAAATATTTGGAGAAGAAAGTGAGAAAGAATTTGTAAGTTATATAGTAAATGATGATTAAATTATTTCTTCCTACTATCATATATTTCGGAATTTAGAATTACAAGAACTGATATTTGTAAGTGACATAAAATCCACAAGAAAGTGATAGTCTGTTTATGATATTTGGAATGACAGTCGATCAGTAGCAGCGTAGAACCTGGTACGTATATACATCGGTTCAAGTTTCAATGCTCCATTAGCACAGAAACGAAGTTGTCAGGTCAAATACCAGAATAGTAGAGGTAGTAACACTATCAGTGGTAATAGCAAACATTGGGTATCGAAGATACAATTCGAGAAAATATAAATTAATGAAATAAAAAAAGGTTATTAGGAACTTACAACAACACATTTTTCCAACCACCTCAGTTGATGAAGGTTTACTACTTCATCAATCGATTCACCATATTCCTAGCCTTACATAAAACATAAGATGACCTTCTAGTTAGTTAATGTAACTTGTGGTCATGTGCCCTTATCAATATATGAGGTAATGATGCCACCAATTAGAGAACAATGAATTATCGACCGGACCAGTGACGCATAAAACCCGTACGAGTAGTCTGGAATCTTTATCGGCTCTTCTTCGTTCCTAGCCCTACCTCTTAAGTCCAGAACACCAATTTCAGCCTCCGTGATATGGATCATGTATTTCCAACATACTGGGTTTATATGCAAACCAAAAAGACTACATCGCACCACAAAAAAGAAAACATTTTACAAGATCTAGCCAAAAGTAGCTGTGAATGTGGAATACTGTAATTAATAGATTAGTAAATCGTATAATAATAGTCTATGGGTCAAAATAAAGCTTTTATTAAGAGGAACATGAATATGCTTAGATTAGCTACTCAATAATTATACAACAAAAATATATGTATCGTATTGGTTCACAAATAGCTCACAAAATTTACCATTCATTATTCTCGTCGGAAAATAACATTAGTAAAGTAACCTAATTAGTCGTCATTTTGCAAAGTTTCTAATACATTTTTGTTATTCATTGACCTTTCATAGGAACAAAATAAACCTACTGCTTTTTTGAACACTTCGGTAACAACTAATTTTGTGTTAAATTTTGGACGTTTGAACATGTCTACCAAAGAACCCTAATTAACAAGTCAACCATTTTTGGAACGTTTAAAAACATTGAGCATTTTTAGGAAATGTCAGTTAATTTCACTCAGAATAATCAGACACATTTACTGTAACCGATACACTATGATTTACCAATGAACCTGACCATCCGCACATCAAAGTGCAGAAGTCACTTTCTCTACTCTTTCAATGCTATGTATCATAATCAATTTGTGCTTGAATTAAGTGAACTGTCGGTTTTTTGTATATATTAAACAGATTGAATGATACAAATTTTAGTTTAGAGATAAGACTTCAATTTATTCTGAGTGACTTTGATGACGAACAACAGTCAAATATTATACGTCTTAGGTGTAATGAAATAAACTTAATAAGTGAAGTATTGTAGTTCAGTAAAATGATTGTTTTGTTTCCGTTCGTACTTCATGTACAATTTAATCATTTGTCTCTTTATTAAATGCTAAACTATTCCTTTATGTAACGTAGTATCAATGATTAAGTGTTATTTATACACGTAAAGTTCATGGAAATTACTTATGAGAGCAATTTCTCTGAAAAAGGTATTTAAAACTCTTTCAATCAATGTCTCTATGATACGCCCATGATCTTCAAGCTATTCTCTTTTGTTGTTTTCTAGTTTATAGTTCATTATTTGTGGCATTAAGTGATTCTTCTTTTCTATTTTTATCCTACTGACAAACAGAATTTTTATCATGATTTGTATTAATTCAACTTAATCACTAACTGGTCAATTTTCCAGTACTTTTGCCCCCTAACTAATCTATGACAGATAAGAGGACCAAAATTCTTGTTTCGTCATAAATTTACGGAAAAGCAGATGAAGATTAGTTGTGTACTCAATTATCACTCTCAGCAGCTTAAAACCACTTTTTCAACCCGACTTAAGACTCACAACAAAGACTTGATGCACAAATGAACATGAATAGGCTTATATCAAAGCACACTTGATAATCGAGAATTATTCCAGAAATGTGTCTGCGTAGAATTCGATGAATTACTACAACTGATTCATGTTGCAAACAACCAATTAAAACAGAACAGATGTAAAGCTAAAGGATCCAGAATATAAGAAATGCAAACATGTTTAAAGTGGAAGTTTAATTCGGTTATATATATCAGTGAAATATTCATTGACAGAACTACTCTAATAAGTTACAAATTAGTAGTTCACTATCTCTAACTATAGAATTGTGAAAAGACCAGGAAATGAGGCAACAATTATTCGATTATCACTATACTACCATAAAGTAAACTAATCTAGATGTAGGACTTCTAGTTTTCATAAGATAGAAATAAATTGGCTAAAATTTCCCTTAATGTTGATTAAAAAATATCAAGAGTTGGTTGGAGATATCGTTGACAGTCAGTCAGCTACAACGTAGGACAAGGCACATACATGCATCGGTTTAAGGTGCCATACAGCAACAAGATGGACACCGGATTCATAGGAGTATTTAAGTCAATGGTGGTAATATATAAAAAAAGATTGCATACAAGGAGATAGTACAGGAACGAAAATTTCGTACGTAGAAAGAAAGATATGAAGCGATTTTAATCTCTTACTTTAAGGGAAGGCAGAGAGTGTATACACCGACGCCATTGTGATCGATTCTGAGCCATGTCACCAAGAGTCTCCAACCATTGGTTACGATAGTCACGCGCACTCCAACCAAGTAGTCTGCATCTACCAATATGGCTCAGACTAGAAGTTAGTGACTTCAAGCACGTTTTTGTTTGGCCGCCCCTAACTTTCTTCCAATTATCCCTAACACCGGTTAGCATCGCACGTCGTGGTAATCGGTGTTCAGGCATACGCAACACGTAGCCCAACCATCTCAGTCGATGAAGATTCACAACCTCATCGACTGATTTACCATCATTCCCTAATACCCTGCGTCTAACCTCACTGTTAATTGCCCGGTGATCCCAGCAGATGCCAGCAATATTTCTAAGGAATCTGTGGTCAAATACTAGTGGCTTACGAGTATCTTCAACTCTTAATGGCCATGTTTTGCAGCCGTAAAGTAAAATAGAACGAACTGCCGCACAGTATACCTGTCCTTTAATTGATAGATGGATATCTCGCATTCGCCATAGGTGACGTAAGTTGGCAAAAACTAAACGAGCTTTTCGAATCCGTGCAGAGATTTCGTCAGACACCAACCCACTACGGCTAATCAGACTTCCAAGATAAGTGGAGTCGTCAACACGTTCGACTACTTCACTCCCTATCCTTAGTTCAGGTGTTGATGCAGGTCAGTCCTGAAGCCATAACTTGCATTCAAAGGGGGAGAAACGCATCCCAAATATCCTGGTATTGTCGCTCAGTGCTACCAAAAGACTGCATTTTATCAGCGTCTTCACCAAACAGGACTATGTCATCTGCGTATTCTAAGACGATATGTGGACCTAATGGTAGAAGATCAATGCCCGAAAATTCATCGAAGAGAGTGTTATTTCCATGAGAAGGTCTATGATGAAGTTAAACAAAAATGGAGGAAGTGGACAGCCTTGACGGATACCACTTGACGTTTCAAAAGCAGATGACAGTTCGGCATAAGCTCTCACTCGACTAGTAGTGTTTGAGTAAAGAGCATTTACAAGGTTTATGTACTTCTGATGTACGCCTTTCAATTACAGACACTGTCACAGAATCTCGCGGTCTACAGAGTCAAATGCTGTTTTTAGGTCAAGAAACACAACCATTGTTGGACGGCGATAAGTATGCCTGTGTTCTAGAACCTGACGAATGGTAAATATGTGGTCGATGCAGCCACGACCAGGTCTGAATCCAGCTTGGTTCTCTCGTGTTTACAGTTTACGAGTCTTAGTTAGGCGTCCGATAATTATCGAGGCTAGTATTTTAGATACTAAATTAGTCAAACTAATCCCTCTATGGTTGTCACAGGACGATTTTGCCCCTCTCTTATATATTGGGACGATAATTGATTGTGACCAGTCAGATGGGATAACGTCCAACTCCCAGATTTTAGCTAAATATTAGTCAACCTTATCGCTAAAATTAGACCAACATCCTTAAAGATCTCTGACAGCGTGACCGCAGTGCCCAAGGGACAACTGCTTGTGGTTGGTCATACACCTTCTTATGAGTAGTTTTTGTGTTAGCTCCGTACCTGTTGAGACCTTACCGCCGGAAACGAATATCCGTGGGATAAGGTGAGGTGTGCATTTCTAGGATCGACCTCTTCTAACTCCACCCCTCCTTATGGGAAGGCAGCATCGCTGTCATGCTGGTTGTCTGAAGGAAACACCTTACTGCTGTCACACCTCTGTACAGTCAGAAGTACGACTTCGCCTTCGGACCTTGGGCTTGTCGCTTTTAATCTTATTACTCTTCAACCGACCTGTCTGACATGGTAGGACCTTGAGGAACGGTTGTTCCAGACAGTATAGCTCGGTTGCTTCATCACGATAGGTAAGCCCGACCGCCACGTTAAGGTAGCAACAACGGTCGGACAGAAAATGCTCAAAATAGATATCACTGAATTAAACTTCTATTTTTCTTCTATTTTGGATCATTTTACTTAACATCCATTTCATGTGTTGTTTTAATTGGTTGTTTTGCAACCTGAATCAATTGTAGTAATTCATCAGGGTTAATATTCAGCACACACAATATAAAATAACATTGCTAAAAACTGGAATATGTAGAGAAAACACTATTATAATTTTTAAATTATGCACTGGAAATAACGATAAGAAATGAATTAAGAGATTGGATACTAGATATAGATGAAAATGGAAGTTATAATAATACACAAGCTGTTCATTTACACGTACCTTCATCTACATTCAAATCGAATGATTTGTCGTTGTAAAATAAGATAGTTTTCTTATCGTGTGGTGTGACAATGCGAATCACATGGTCACCGAAACTCTGATCAAGTAAAAAAACCAAAGAAATATATGTCCAAAATATACAAACTATTGAAAAAAAAATCATAAAATAAAAAAGTTAAATGAAGATATATTTAACTAAGGATTGATTGAAAAATAAATGTGTTAACTATATCTGAAACTGTATAGCATAATTCAGAATAGAATAGAAATAGAATAATTTAATCCCATATCCCTAATAGTAGGTCGAACAGTTGGACTGTATTATTTATTTATTTGAACACATACATATTGGTACAGGGGGGCACCAAATATATATGCGCCACACAAAACAATGATAATTTAAAGAGAAGGAGAAAAGAGAAAAAAAAGTAATGAACGTGGGGAATTATAAATAAAAAAAAGAGAGGGAGAGAACAATGATGGGGAAAACGGAAAGGTACAATCATAAGAAATCTTTCAGTTAAGGAAGATACAACCAATTTTTATGAAGAAAGTAAAAGAAGGTTACAGCAGGATCGCCACTGGCTTCTATTCTGAGCCATATCTGATAACGTCTCTAGCCACTGCGTTACACCGTCTCTCGGACCCCAGCCAGGGAGTTGTGAAGGACCAACAGAAGCTAGCCCTTTGCAGTTTTCTTTCATACCACGACACCATGTCATATACTGACCACCTCTCCGCTTTTTCCAACCAGTCCCAGAGTCGGCAAATAATGCACGACGAGGAATTCTCTGGGACGACATTCGTAGAACATGTCCAAGCCACTGAAGTCGGTGTTTCAAGATGGTGACACCGATTGGATTGTTGTCTCTGTGACCGAACACTCGATGCCGAACCTCTGCATTACTGACATGGTGTTGCCACTGGATGCCAGCAGTCCTTCGGAGACAGCGATGATCGAACACAGAGAGTCGTCTAACATCCTCAACTCGGAGAGGTCAGGCCTCACAAGCATAGAGCAAAACTGCTCTCACTATCGCGTTGTAGATCCGACCTTTTACAGCCAGACTAACATCACGAAGGCGCCAAAGATGGCCCAGATTGGCATAAGCCGCTCTGGCTTTCACTATACGTGCATTGATCTCATCACTCGCACCACCACCAGCACTTATGCAGTTACCTAGATACACGAACTTCTCGACTACTTCAATCTGCTCACCATCCAGAGCGAGTACAGGATTAGAATCCTGCCAGTCTTGTAGAAGAACTTTGCACTTCGAAGGTGCAAAGCACATACCATACCTACGGAAACCGCTTGCCAACTGATTAAGTGTGGATTGCATGGCTTGGGCATTCTCGCACAGTAAGATAATATCATCCGCATACTCAAGGTCGAGAAGTCTTTCCTCAGGCAACGGATCCACACCGCCATTACACACGTCCATCAGAGCTGTTTCCAAAATGTCATCGATGGCAAAGTTGAAGAGGAATGTTGAGATTGGGCAACCCTGCCTAACCCCACTGCTCGAATGGAATAGTGGAGAAAGGTGGTTGCATGCCCTCACTCTGCCTGAGGTGTTTGTGTATAGGGCTTTTAGGATGTTAATAAACTTCTCAGGCACACCCTTTTTCAATAGAGAATCCCAGAGAACAGTTCTGTCCAACGAATCGAAGGCAGCCCTGATATCAAGAAACACTACGATTGTTGGCCTTTGATAAGTATGGCGGTGTTCTAACACTGGGCGGAGGGTGAAGATATGATCAATACATCCTCGACCAGAACGAAACCCAGCCTGCTCCTCGCGAGTACCATACCACGGTTGGACTGACAAAGTATAGTCGCTTATTATATGACATAACACTGTATTATTAACACATTTTCAACACTAATCTACTGAGGATTCTAAGTACACCAAAAAATCTCAATGTGAAATGAAAATGAACATTAGAAATACCAAAAGAGTAAACATGAATTTACTAAATAGTAAAGCTTAATGGATAATCTAATAGTCCATCTCGTCAGATTTTTAAGTTTCACCAAACGTTACCATCTCCTTTTAATGGATTATATGGTGAAACTGCACTTTAGTCGCTTGGTTTTCAAGACGAAGGTTAGAGTTTCCCGTTTCAATCCAATTACTTAAGTTTATTTAACAAGATACTATTATTAGCCCTCAGGCACCAGATAGAGATCAGTTCATTATTAGCTCCAGATATAATTAGACTACATCTGACAACCTTATATTAATATACTCAGTTGAGGGAGGCTGAGTTGTGACAATGGGTTTTAACAGTCAGCTAAATAAACTTGGGACATTCAACATTATGAAATTTATGGGATGAAAGAAATATCTTAGGCGTACAAAATAATTTATAACAATAAACGAGAACTTTAACATTAAGATGAAGCAAGGTTTAAGATAGTCTTCTAAATTTACTTATTAACAGATAACTCTTTTGTTTATTAACACTCAACAACTTATTACTGACATCACTTAACTATAAATCAGTGACCATAATCATAATAATATTACAGGTAAAACTCTTGAAGAGCTCAGTGAAAAAGGAATTTTCATGAATGGGATGGAAATGTAGATGTGCAAACTGGGAACACAAAGTGGTCAGATTAAGTTCATGATTAAATCACGCTACTAGTAACGAAGCAGAGGAATTCGAGCTATAATTTACAATAATGTGCTTGTGAATTAAAATGGACATATCTACTCAGTTGTCTTTAGAATTCTAAATTTCCTGTCCATATAGGTGTCTGACGATCTACAGATAGTGAGTGTGAATCAATCTACACAAATTGAACAGCAAATCCAAACTATCATACATAGTAAAACAGATTCAATTAATTTCACTTAAATTTTAGTTCTCTACCTGAGGTTTTTGTTGAGGACAAATAGTTACCTGAAGCTAGGGAGAACAATAACCTAATAACTTCATGTCTTTGATTAAGAATAAATGTTACAACCACAGAACATAAGAGAATACACAGGTGTGCTGAGCATCGGGAATATTGAATAACTAGGTAAATTTCTTGTCAACGCAACAAGTGGGATAGATGAAAAAATAAAAACCGTATTTTGTGTGTACGGCTGAGAGTTGACCTGCGTCTTATCAACTTGTGTCTACATAAATACAGAAATAGATAGAACAGATAAAAAATTTTCAGGAAGTATACAAGTGTATGCAACGACAACCACATAATTCAGATGCGTACCATGTACTGAAATACATTTTGGATCAAAAGTGATTTGCTTACTGTTAGCGGGACATACATTGGATTTAAGCATGCTCAATGCACGATTGCGTTGACGCACGCTGGCTGGCTGATTCTTATCCAATCAGCGCTAGTCGATACTTGGAGAAAACTCTAGAATCTACTTATGTAAAAACTATAAATATACTAACGGTCTTCCTATTGTGCTTCTTGCTTCCATCTAACTTTGTTATTTGGAATATAATCTCTGTCCTGTTCAACCGTGTTCTGATTTGGGGCCTTGTCGAGTGAATTGGTGTCCGAGAATACTAAGCAATGGGAATAGCTGGGTTAAAACCGTAAGAGCGAGAATTATAATAGTGGCGACGGGGAAAAAGGAAAATAAATTTAAGATGTCCATATCACATGACCAGCTCAACCGAATACTACAACAACAGCAAGCACAATTAGATGCACAAAGGCGGTTGTTAGAGACTCTGACTCAACAGCTTAACATCCACTACTCGAGTTCACATGGTATTTCAAGTACGTCTTGTGATGCAGTTGCTAGCAGCATCTCAGAATTCATCTATGATCCCGAAAGCGGAAATACTTTCCTCACGTGGTTCAAACGTTGGGAAGATACATTTAGAATAGAATTCTGTAACCAAGACGACGCCTGGAAGACTCGATTGTTGGTACGTAAGTTAGGAATTAATGAATATGCACGCTATGCTGACTATATGTTGCCAAAGTTACTTCGAGAGCTCAGTTTCGAGGAGACAATAATTCAATTGTCAGAGATATTCGGTGAATCCTCCTCATTGTTTAGTATTCGACATCAGTGTCTAAATTCGGTGAAACGCGAAGCCGATGAATATAGTGTTTTAGCAGACATCGTCAACAGAGAATGTGAACGGTTCAAGTTACGCTCGTTGACAGAATACCAATTTAAATGCCTAATATTCATCAAAGCTCTTCAGTAACCACAAGATGCTGAGATCAGGACTAGACTTTTGGCTCGACTGGACCAAGACCCAAACGTCACACTCAGAACGTTGACAGATGAGTGTAAGCGGCTACAAAGCATCAGACACGACGTGTTGATTGAACAGGTAAATCCTAATTTAACCTGCAGCAGTGTCAATGCTATTACTAGGTTAAAAGTTCAGAAGCCGATAACAACTCGTAACAAACCAACGACTGCATGCTGGTTATGTAGTGATTGGCATTATGTAGGATTCTGTTCATTTAAGAAGCATACATGTCATGTGTGCAACAAACGAGGACATAAAGAAGGTCATTGTCCACCGAATCGTACGTCTCGACCCAAGAAGAAGCGTAAACGTCATCGACACACCAGATCCTAAGAATCATTTCAAAGGGGAGGTGTTAGCGGGACATAAATAGGATTTAAGCATGCTCAATGCACGATTGCGTTGACGCACGCTGGTTGGCTGATTCTTATCCAATCAGCGCTAGTCGATACTTGGAGAAAACTCTAGAATCTTCTTATGTAAAAACTATAAATATACTAACGGTCTTCCTATTGTGCTTCTTGCTTCCATCTAACTTTGTTATTTGGAATATAATCTCTGTCCTGTTCAACCGTGTTCTGATTTGGGGCCTTGTCGAGTGAATTGGTGTCCGAGAATACTAAGCAATGGGAATAGCTGGGTTAAAACCGTAAGAGCGAGAATTATAACACTTACATTGAGAATTTTTTCAACATCAGGAACAGATTCAGTCAAATCATCTAGATAAATTCCCCCCAAACCTTTCAACTCCTGACGACGAAGAAGTTGGTAAAGATCCTTACGAGTACGAATATCATATCTCGGTTTAAATACGAACTTTGCATCCGTGGTAACACGAATTTTTGGATTATTCGGTAAAGCCTAATATAAATATATTGCAATCAGAGTTGAATTACTTCTTCCTCCAGCCATTTTACGGTAGCAGGTGGTGTGTCATGAAGTACAGCTTCTTCCAAAATTTCTTCTACAGATAACGGATGAGTATCGCCTTCTAAATGGCGTTGCTATGAGAAACTATAGCATACAGTACGTGACAAACCTTCATATACTTTACTATTCGAGATAAAACAGCAAACTTCCCTTGCAATTGAGGTTTTAATTCGAGAGATCGCAAATCCGAAACAGTAGAAACTGAAGGAGGTCCACGGCGGTGTACAGAAGTCACAGGGCCTTTTTCTTCTGAAGCACCAGAATAATTAGACTTTGGTTTCTCAACAACAGGAATTGTCATGGCTCTCTTCAAAAACGCTTCCCTCTCTTTTATAAGGCTTGGATTCATCTTCAGAGTGTATCACAGAGCTAAAACGAAAAGGGAATATCTTCTGTAAGATTAAATTCATATCATAAAACAATAATGACAACTGTATTAAAACTCGTTAATTTATCTTTTCATCACCTCATAATTTGGCATCAGATCCTGAATAGAATGTAGGACAACACTAAAATCCAACTAATAAACAAGATTCGTTTGATAGTGCATGATTCGGTGTATGATGCATTGGAGCGCTATGGTGGCAATAGTTTTTATTTCTTTATTTAATACCAAAGTGTGTCCCGAAATAATATTGAGAAAAAATAGGAGGAAGAGTACAATCATAAAATAATGATGTGGTTAATAGTAGTATATAATAGGATACGATCCAGTTAAAAATACAAACAATAAACGCTTTCCTCAGTTAAGAGAGCCTCATTTGATATGTGTGAGGGCTAAGATGCTGTCCGGGTGCCCAAACCGAAGCAGGTGGTTTTCTTAGGGGGCCACAACCCGAACCTTTGACCTGAAGATCTGATCCACAAATCAGTGGAGCATCATAACGAGATGCAGTCCCATGGTAATTGGTGACCAACAGTTGGTTCATACGCCATTTGTTCCTTCAGGATACTGGAGCTCATGTGCACCATTGGTTTGGGATCCGGTTAAAGCACTGGACATTCGCTTTTCGTCCTCTCATTTTCGTAAACAACACCCCAGCCACGAGAATGCAGTGAGTAGGACTTCCCTGACAGAGGCTGTATACGCGTGGCTATGTGAAAGCATTTCGAGGGAGACCGGACTCTCCCCACTGTAGGCCGTACCAGGGAATTCGGGGGCGAAAAAAATATGGAACGCTTCACGATTTTGCGTGTCATCCTTGCGCAGGGGCCGTGCTAATCTTCTCTGTATCATTCCAATTTTAGTATATGTACCGCCGAAGCGGAAGGATTGCTACTAGTTTTTACCATGTCATATCTGGTAACATCGCAAGTTAACGAGTTACACGAATTCTCAGACCCCGACCGAAGCCGTATTGGATTACCAGATCAGTCATATACAACTTTCTCATTTCACAATATCATGTTATAGACTAATCCCATCTCCAACTTTTCACTCAGTCTCGGTGTCAGAGAAGAATGAGCATATGAACGACGCTGGAATGACATTCGTAAAGCACGTCCATGCAAAATTTCAAAAACATTGTGTAGGATCGGTCCCACAGACGCTGTACAAACCCGACCCTTTACAGCCAGGTTAAAATCATGAGGGCAACACAGATGGCCTATATTGAGATATACCGTTCTGGCCTTTCCTAAACGTAAAGTTATTTTATCTATTAAATTAAACTAACTCATTTGCCAAGTACTCGAATGTGAGCCGCACACTCATTGTGAGGGGGCAATGATACTACCCGATTCCCAGAATCGAAATAGGTAGGGTTCGAACCGGGGACATCCCCGCTAATACCACTCACAAAATTACCGAAATACACGAACGTTACGACTACTTCCAAGGGCTTATTACAAAGTGTGCACAAGTATGGGTTTCTATTGATCTTAGGGAAGCGTTTTGCATTTAAATGATGAATACATTAAAGTGAAGCAGAACACTGGTGAGGACAACCGAATTATATTTAGCTCAAATTACAGAGCTAATTGGTAAAATAGAAAAACCATATATTAAATCGTTAATTTGCAAAATATCAATCCTTCATATCAAACTGAACTGTTCCTGTTGCAAATATCAATCCATTGACTGACATTTCATTGTTCATGATTTTTCACACAAATTCCATTGTGTTGCCGCTCTTCCTTTCTTGATCTTCCCCCATCTTCTGCTGCCAGACATTACGTTTTTGACTCGCGTTATATACTACTTATTATATCAATATAAGTAGCGCGCACCACACTCGTCCCCCCTTCTAATAAGCTGTCGTCATAGTCTTTCTGATCGCCGTACCGCTGTCTTCTTTGGTGCTTTTCGTGACTCACACACTTGATAATCTTGAAACCATGTCTGCAATTGACTAGAATTTACGCGCTTCTGCTTGTCTTCTCTCCGGATCGTGTAAACCGCGCCGCATCTCTCTGTGTTAACGTACGGTCCTTCCCACTTTGAGATCAGCTTTCCCGACCATGATCCCCCTGTCATGCTACTTTTCCGTTCTCTACAATTTACTAGGTCCCCCATTGCAAAAGGTTCCCACGTTCCCCTTTGTTGTTCCGCCTTCTTTATGTCTGATATTTGCTTCTTTTCCATGTTCCTGTTTGCCTCCCTCCTCTCTTTTCTTAACCTTGTTGTCGTCCATTTCTGTTGTGGCCAGGTCTTGTTGTGTATTGGAGGTCGTGGTTGTCTGCCATATATGAGCGAAAAAGGTGATTTCTTGGTTGTTCCTTGTATGGAGGAACGATGCGCCAGCAAAATCAATGGTAACTCTTTCAAATTTATTTTATCCCACTATTTCTTGATATAAAATGACCACTTTTCCTATACAAATTTCTTCAAATCATTAGAATATACTCTCAAATATGCTATATATATACCTGTCATGTACATTATTTTAGTCTAGGAGTGGGGTTAGGAAAGATTGCTCAATATAACCATCTTTCCTCAACTTTGCCATCAATGATATTCTGGAAACTTCTAACGGAATTAGGTGATATAGATCTATTATCTGGAAAAAGTTTCCGATCTTGAGTTCATGGATAACATTGTCTTACTGTGCGGTGATACATAACCTATTCAAATCGCACTTAATTGGTATCTTCGATTTTGTCATATTGTGGTGCGCGCTACTTATATTGATATAATAATTAGTATATAACGCGAGTCAAAAACGTAATGTCTGGCAGCAGAAGATGGGGGAAGATCAAGAAAGGAAGAGCGGCAACACAATGGAATTTGTGTGAAAAATCATGAACAATGAAATGTCAGTCAATGGATTGATATTTGCAACAGGAACAGTTCAGTTTGATATGAAGGATTGATATTTTGCAAATTAACGATTTAATATATGGTTTTTCTATTTTACCAATTAGCTCTGTAATTTGAGCTAAATATAATTCGGTTGTCCTCACCAGTGTTCTGCTTCACTACAGTGGTAATATATAGCTGCCTCCACTAACGATGAAGATCCCATGGCCGAGGGAATTTGAGGACGGAGAATTACTGAGCTTCCTGAGGGAGTTTGAGGCCGTGGCGGAGCTGTTGGGCGTGAAGTAGGCGAGGGCGAGGTTGGTGGTCCTGGGGACGCTGCTTGAGAGGCAGGGTGAAGGCTATATATGACAGCTTGGACGGTGCGATAAGACGACGTGGGAGGCAGTTATGGAACGGTTGGTGACGGAGTTCGACAGCCCAGTGGACAGGGAGGACGCACTGCAGAAGTTCCGATTAGCGAGGTTGTCGCCCGATGATGACCCACTGGTGCTGGCTGTGGAGCTCACCAGATTGTTATGCCGTGCGCTGCCAAATCTGGATGAGGAGTCGGAGGCACATTTGCTGGCGTCGCAGTTTATCGAGAGTGTTTCTGTCACCGTTTCTCAGCAGCTGAAATTAGTAAACGCAGTGCAACCTATGGATGTCAGTGAACTGGCGAAGGTGACTCGTCAGCTGATGACACGAACAGTAGCTCCGGTCGGGTACGAAAAGCAGGAGATAAGTAGTGTCGAGAAGAAGATTGAGCAGCTGGAGCGTGAGATTGCAGCATTATGAGTAAATCATAAAAGAAACGACATAGATATTTTATACGTTATAACGTGTGTTCTTTCTACCCTAGGAATCCGGGGGTTGTTGCATTAGTAGATAGAGGGGCAGTTTATACGAGAGTGAACATAGATGAACGGGATTTAGTGTGTCTGATCGATACAGGAGCAGCGGTATCGTTAATAGGCAAAGAGCAATGTAAGACACTCAAGCCATGTACATTAGCTGTCCACACTATAGGAGGGCATATGTTAGAGGTGTTGGGGGTATCTAACAGTATTGTAAAAGCGGGTGGAGCTGAGATAAATTTTCCGTTGGTGGTAACCACAAGCTTATCGAGACCGATACTAGGAGCAGATTTCCTAAGAGAAGTAAAAGCGATAATTGACTTAAGAAGCGGTAAGGTGGTCACAAAGTATGGTTCATTTCCAATACACGAAAGTAGCGAAGCGGCTGAAATAAGAGTGGCAACGGGCGTCTCGACGGAGAAACCAAACATTAACGAGTTATGCAAAAATTATGCGAAACTGTCCACTGGAGATGGGGAGCCGTATGGATTTTGTGACAAAGTAAAGCATGAAATCCCGATAAAGAACGACCGAGTAAATCTATTTGCAACACGTCGTGTCCCGGTGCATTTAGAGGCCGAGGTAAATCGACAGGTCCAGGAAATGTTGAAAGAAGGTATAATTGAGGAAGCGGACAGCCAATATAGCTCACCGGTACTCTTGGTAAAGAAACCCAATGGAAAGTATAGATTTTGTGTCGACTTTAGAGAACTGAATAATATAACAGACCTGAAACCTTGTACAATGCCAACAGTAGTGGAAACATTAGATCGGCTACAGAATGCCACGGTGTTTACAGTGCTGGATTTACGGTCAGGTCATTGGCAACTACCTATAAAAGATAGCGATCGCAGCAAGACAGCATTTACTGCACGTGGTAAACAATACCAATCTAAACGAATACCGTTCGGGTTGGCGGGTGCACCGTTTACGTTCAGAAGATTAATGACGCTACTGCTCAAGAATCTAGACAATGTCGAGGTATATGGCGACAATGTAGTTGTATACAACCTGACAGAAACAGATCACGTCAAGCATGTGGAAGCAGTCTTAAAGCGAATTGATGAATTCGGACTTCGAATTAATAAGGAAAAGTCGCAGATAGCGAAAAACAGCGTCACATTGTTGGGACATAAAGTGGGAAATGGAGAAATAAAACCATTGCCGGAGAAAATTCTTACCATAAAAAATATTGCAGTACCTAATTCGAAAAGGAAGTTGAGACAGTTCCTGGGAAGAGCGGTGTTCTATAGTCGGTTTGTCAAGAATTTCAA